CGCCAGGCGTCGGTTTTCTAAAATTGAAATCAACGTTTTCCAAATCTTTCGAGTCACACTCCTGGGTCTTGTGGTGGTGTCGTGACGATAGGCATCGCGACGCCGGGCGTCGCTTTTCTACTTCTGTCTTCAGTGATGTCTAACTACTTCTGCGGTATCTTTTGTGTTATTAGAAGGTGTCGTGATGCTGGGCGTCGCTACGCCTGGCGTCGATTAGGTTAGGTTAGGTGAGGTTAGGTTAGGTTAGATTATGTTAGGTTAGGTTAGGTTTGTGTATTTTGTTACGTTCGGTAATGTTTTGAATATTTTTGTGACGATTCGACACTTATGGCCACAATTCGTCACGCCGTTACAGTACGTCACGCTTTCTCACGCTTGGTCGCGCATGTACACGCTTTGTAAATTTTCGTCATATTTCGACTCTATTGGCCGCATCTCGTGACGCCTTTCAGTAAATCACGCCTAGTCACGCTTCGTCACTCTGTCTAGCTTAGTCACGTTTGCTCACGCTTTGTAGATCTTCGTCACAATTCGACACTTATGATTATCCATTGTTACGACTAGGGTTTGTTGGTTTTTAAAAACCGGGTTTAAAACCAGTTTTTTTGGATAAATTTGTAAAATACGAAAACCGGTTTTTAAAATTTAAAAACCGGTTTTTTCAAAAGTCGGTTTTTGTATAAACCCTGGTAAGGAGGGCCTTGGGACATTCTGAACACAGCGTAGGTGAAAAGAAAATTCAGATTGAATAATTATTTGTTGAACTCTTTTACCACACAGAATTTGAAGGCACTGCAGTGACTCCTGCTACTGCCTGTCCCACTTCATAAGTTTGCATGGCCGCCAGTTGGTACCATTGATTCTAAGGTGGATGGTCGTATGGCGTTTATACCAACTTTAATGAAAATCCGTTAGGTGTAATTAGTTAAGAGTTTATTAGGAGAGCAGGCATACACGTACATGCGAAACCATAACCTTATTTTTCGTCTGAAAAAGAAAGCTATACTCGTTGTCTTACTTTGTGTGTCATGATGCCTCGTCCTCTTATATATACATGGCTGCTGTTGGGAAAAATGAGACAAAGAAACGGCTTTTAAATGAAAAGCATCTTTAGTTATGTCAAAGTATGCACATAATTGTCTTCTTTAATCTGACAAATGACCTAGCATGAACTGTTGTTATTTGTAATTAAAGACAGGGTTAATGTAATTATAATTACCTGAGAAATGTATATACCAGTTCCCACTACGAGGTAGATCCTGTCTTGTTATCTTTTGTTGGCAGTCATGGCTGCTAGGTCAAATTGTAGTTACCTGTAACTGTTTTATTTGTAATTTTTCTCATCGGTGCTCGGTTTCAAACTCAGTGCTGACTGAGGTCTAATTATAACATTAATGTGAAAGTAATGCATTCTAACTTAGTACTTAAAAGGTTCTAATTTTATAAGATCTGAGTATCTAAATCTTGATAATAGAATTATTAAATACCGAAGACTAGATCCCGAGTTAGTTCCACCCACCTGACTTCCTCCCAATGTATTTCCCTGAGATCTATCTTAATTTTATTCTCTTGTATTTCCTTTCTGGTCTTCCAAGTGTTCCTTTACTAAGAGACTTTGCCGCCAATCTCTGAACGTGTTTCTCCTCTCCCACTTTCCATCTACATGCCCAATTCTTCGTAATTTTCGTATCAATGCTATGGGACGCCCAGCAATAAATGCAATTGAAATTTGTTTTAATCCACGAATGCTGTTTTTGTTAACAAACATGTCTTATTTTGTTTGTATATAATTCCCACAGTCGACTTACACATAACTAAATGAACAAAAGCATAAATAACTTGAATTAATAAATGGAAAGCGAGAGAAATATTGGTAAATACTAACGTTATTCAACACAAAAGTGGATTCTGTTCGTGGGCGAGCAATGTCGTTTTTAGGAACGAAAGATTTAATAATACTTGTTCCCATGGTAACATAATCGAAGTAGTTGCTCCAGTTTGAGGATTTCTCTTAATTTCCACCTTTGCTTACGTTTCATTGTGTTCATTTCAACACCAGACTCTAATGCCATCGTACACTTCGTCATTAACACACTGTGACCCAGAAACCTGTTTACAAATAACAAAATAAATATATGAATAAAAATTAAATTTCCCACAAGAATTTCGTGTGCTCTAGATTCCACGTCTGAGCGGTTTGATCATGAATTCATAATAGGAAGAATAGAAATGATTGCACCACGGAGTAGAGTCCTTCTTAAGCTGATAGTCGCTCGAAAGTTTATTTCCATGCTCAGAAGGACCTGCTATTAGACCACGTACTGAGCCATTTTTATGAAGTATAAACATTCATACCCTGTTTCTTTCCTATTCATCTTCATTTTATCCTTCCATCTACGTCAAGGTCTCATCCCTTCGGGTTTTCCGACTGAATGTACTTCTCATCTCTGCAATACACGTCACATATCTGCCCCCTCTTGTTATGATCACTTTAACAACGTTGGTTGGGAAATTTTCCAGCATAATCCGCAGAAATGAAAGAAAAACAAGCACACGTAACATATACGTAAGTGTATTTACAGACACACTACCTACATTTTTAAATATTTACTAATAACAGAAAGTATTTCATATAAAATTTAATATAGAAGAAGCCAACTTTTTTTAAAGGATCCCAACGGGGAGTAACAACGTTCTTTTGCATATTCTTCAGAGGAAGATGGTCTTCGCGGCGTTGAAAATTTTGATTTGTGCCTAGTAGGCTTGTAGGTTGTCACCACCCAGTCGGAGGAACTTATCGTTTCCATTCCCAGGGCATAAAGCATCGTAATCCAGAATACCACAATCCACAGCGTGCAGAAGGGCATGAGGGTATTTAGCCATTAGTCCTATCCATTGTTTTAAGATTTAGACTTTAAAAAATTACATTTCAGATGCTGGGCCTATATATATAGCGAGCCTTACAGCATAGTAAACATCTCCTCTGTATCATACCTGAAGATGGAGACAGAATCAGTCTCCGAAACGTCATGATTTTAGAATTTTGAAACATAGGTAGTGGACAGTCTAAAGAAAATGCCATAACTAGACAAGATTTATAATAAAGCTTCATATATTGTTGGTACGATTTGTGAACCGCATCCAGGAGCATAAAAACGGAACACTTACGTATGTTTCGTTGGGTCACTCACCTGTCTCTGTAAATAGCCAGGTTTCAAGAGGGAAAACTTGTTCTGAAAGTAAGAATGAAAACAGGTTTTCCCACTAACGGCTTGTCTCCCTCCGGTCTGTCTCATTCCGGCTGTTGTCAGCTGTTGCATTACAATCTCTCTTCATGCCATTGACATTGAAGGGAGTTTTATACAGTTACTTCAGAACGCAATAAAACAACTGCTAACTATGTGGTTATTGATAGAGGAAACGTTCATTCTTTATAGTTTTTATCAAATAATTTTTAGTGCATTTAAATCGAGGATGAGACAGACTGTGCATGAAGCACGCATTGAGGAGCTCAGAATTTTATTCGGAAAACCTGAGGGGAAGAGAGACCACACGAGAGACACGACACCGATTGCAGGATATTATTAAAATGCATCTCAGAGAAATAGAACATGAGTATGTGGACTAGAAACATTTGAGATCTATTTGCAGTAGTCACTTATTACAAGAAGTGTGGAAGCCATAGGGTTTCATAGGCGTTACAAATGGACCAGAACCTTAATGGAGGGGACAGAGATGGTTCCCGGTGGTTTCATCGTGTAACCATTTGACGCTTATGATTGCCCGAAAATATTTTATTAAATGGATGCTGTTGTTAATAAACTAAAAGGTAAAATAATTTATTTTAATCTCCCATAAAATATAATAAAGAATTCATTTTGGATTTCTCGTGTCTCTTGACTGAAGGCGAAAGATCCCGAAAAGAATTTACGAGTAATTACTTTAGTATTTTTTGCTTTAAATCATTTAAAATTTACCTACAGTTACATGTTCATATTGAAAGTTATGATAGACGCACATGTGTCTCTTTTTGACTGTTTTTGCTTTAGCACATAAGCCAGAAACAAATGCACAAGTTCAGCATTTTGTAAACATTCGCAGTCATTAGAGCAGAACTTTCACTTTCCTTAATTCTATTTGGTCTGAAGGCAACGATCAGGTTTTGTGAAACTAGTTTCGGATTAAAGATGGCTCTATTGTGGGATGTGGCACTGAACTCTGGTAGACATTGACTTATATTTCATCCTCTGAAACGTCGTTCAGTATCTACCAGGCTACATGTTACAACATCGCAGGAAACTGCCATCTTCACGCTTGCCGCCCTGAGAACCAAATTTCGCTTAATTTCAGACTGTTTGGACTGTCTTGTTATGAAACAAATAGAATGATTATCAGTCTAATTATTTCATCTGGCGATAGTTACGTAAATAAAAGGTAGGATTCTTGCTTCTTGCCAATTTAGAATAATTAATTAAATGAAGTTTTGTGAGCAGAATTTGAATTGTAACCGTGACCTCGAAAATAAATATGCGGCAGATGGGAAGTTGTCTTTTACATTTGGTTTTTCACGTTTCAGGTGCTGGAGCTAATGAAGGAAGTAGCTGAGGACGAAGACGATTCTAGTGACATATCGGGTTATCATTCAGATTCCGATTCGGCGATTATGATGTCTGGAAACTCTCCATACGTCAGCAAGAGAGCTCGTTACAACTTCCTATCGAGATCAGGTAAGAAAATAAATGATGTCATATTCCAATTTGTTCTAAATGTCCTTTTTGCATTCAATGGAAAGTAATGCCCATCTGTTTGTCTATCCGTCTCCAGATTTCATATTAAAATCGGATTTTGATAAAACGTTATGTCAGAAATCTACAACAAACTTAGGGAACGGCCTGTTGTAAACAACGGGATATAAAACTATCGATATTGGTCTCATATAAGCATATCGACTACACGTCTGCTAGACACACGTTCCTTCTGCTTCGGAAACAAAAACGCTTTACTCCATTAAATGCCATTTCTGCAGCAACTGTTTCCAGCCCTGGCTGTGCTGAATCTGTTAGACAACTTTGTCCAAACATTCATGCATCACTTCAGTATTGCTGTTTTTTCTAGAATTCATCCATCGTTCAATATTCTAAAACGAGACCGCTTTCTTTTAGGGGATTGTTTTCTCAGGGATTGAGTTCAGCTTCTTCTAACGGACCCAACAGAATAGGGATTTTTACCTGAAGAAAGGAGCAGAGCCGGCTCCCGAAACGTGGCTTTATTCTGGAATATTGAATAATAGATCAAGTCCAGAAAGATAAACAATATTGAATATAACGCAGTGTCCTGCCTGAAAAGGACTGTCAGTAGCATATTTTTGTCTGAAATAAACGAATAAGTCCACTGAGGGATTCTAACTCTCAAAGATCGTTTGGAAATGATGTAGGCCGCTGTGTACACACACTGATAATCATTACTATTCTTTTTTCATTGAACCAACCAATAAAACTGTTGTTTGGTGAGCTAGTAAATCGGCTTGGAGCAAACAGATTTCACGTCTTCAGATGTGGGTTACGGATTACAAAAGCAAACAGTTTCTTCTGAAGGCTGAGGCAACACGTAAAGAGCCTGCAGGCCGGACAGACACAGAAATGTAAGTCAAATAAGCCACAGTGACAGCAGAGAGCACAATGTGTTAGTACATCGTAAGCAGAAAGCGACCTAATACTTGAATGACATCTCTTTACTTCCAAATAAAGAATTAAATTTAATGAGTGTACTGGAACATAATGCTACAGTCCGATTCTGGTCAATTTTCTCCACAGTGACCTACGTTTTGCACGAATATAAATACATTCAGTTAATAGTTGTTCTCTGTCCCTGTGGAAAGAACGTAGGTCGACGATGCTCAAGAACAGGGTGCTTAGGAGAATGTTTCGACCTCAGAAGGATGAAGTGACTGGAGAAAATTGTGTAATGAGGATTTTAAAATGTGTGCTCTTCACCAAACATTATTAGGATGGTCAAGTCAATAAGGATGAGAAGGGTGGGACATGCAACAGCATGGGGGAGATAAAAATGCAGATAAAATTTTGATAAGAATACCCAAAAGGAAGACCTAGGCGTCCGTGAGAGGATAATATTGAAATGGATCTTACATAAATAGCGTTTCAGGATGTGGATTGGATTTATGTGATTCGGAATAGGGTCCATTGGTGATGAACCTTCGGGTTCCGTAAAATAGGGACATCTCGGTGTCTATGTGAATGACTGCCAGCTTCTAAAGAAAGTTAGTTCCTTGTTTACTGATTTATAAGTTTTGCTCGTGTCTGAATTAACATGAAAGTCGCTACAACCAGTCATGTGATGAGCCTCTTTGTGGAAATGAAAGTGTTAATAACTGAAAGCAATGGGCTGACAATTGACGTGAGTAAAGTTGAAAGTGAAATCAGGTTTTGTCAGTGCCAAAAAGGGCCTACATGTTTTAGTAAACCCGCTTTTCTTCATACAAGTAGTTGCGGTATAGGGGTCAATGTTCTCCTGTTTCGTATTTAGTTAACTTCGCTTGTTCTTACACGGCGACCTTAAAATCGGCAAAGACTGCCTCCGCGCATTTCTTACCAATTCATTTCTCGTAAACACGAAGCCATTCCTCGACACATGAACTTCGTTTTTACTTCGAATGTCGACGTTGATGTAACTACTTTAAGAAAATAAATCCCTTTTAATCATAACGAGAGATCGTTGACATTAAAGTTAGCCTTCACGTACATAATTTTAATCGTACGTCATACAATCAACACCCACGCTGACACCGCAGGACAGATCCTGCTCGGATCATAGTTGTTTGTCCATGTTCTTGTATTGACTGTGATGGTAGAAGCCTTACGATGGCATGATCCTCCATCCAGAATCTACCGCTTGTTGGAAGGGTGGATTATAAAAAGAATGCAACAAGAGACAATAGGCTGGAACTCGGCTGTAGCACCAAGAAGTCGTTAGTTAACTCGTCAGTCAAGCTTACACGGGTCACGTGTTTCACATAGACAAAACCACGTAGAAGGTTGTAGGTATGTAATTGTATTGTTACGACAGAGTAACGTAAGATAAATGAACTCACATTCTTCAGTCATATGTACTTCCTTGTTGGTATTAAATAGCTCTCACACAATAAATGACAATGACAAAGATAATGTTGCGTACATGCAACACGCGGCTTTCCAAATACATCCAGCGTATAAGTGAAAAAATGTTGATAATAGTAATCAGTTCAATTCATTTAAATTATTTATATTAGTGTGATGCATCAACAGCCGATTGGCCAATTACAAAAAAGTACAAGATCAATAAGCAAATTATAACACGCATTACATCGTAAGCAAAATAAAAATAATAACAGGCTACTGACACCATAACAAAGTTACTTTAACATATGATTTAAAGTAACTAATTGCTTTCTAAATATATAATAATAATAATATGTGGAAGGTTCAAGCAAAAATAATTCCAGTAGTTATAGGGGCAACAGGAACTGTCTCCAGGTCGCTCAGGAAATATTTGGCCAAGATCCCGGGCGAACACGACGTCAGGGAACTTCAGAAAACTGCCATTTTGGGAACTTCATACATCATTCGAAAGACGCTGTCGTAAAATAAAATTATATAATACATGTAATACATATTAAAAACAAAATGTATCCCGGAAATAGCTGCTGCCCTATGTACCTTAGGGACAAGGTCTGTCTCGGGTACATGGAAGTACATACCCCATAAAGTGGTGAAGAGATGGGATAATAATAATAATAACAACAACCACCTTTATGATCTGTTAATTTTCCTTCCATAGAAGGAGTCCTCTAATATATGTGACAGGGTTTCACAGATCCCAACAGCCAGCCTGGATGAAGTGACAAATAAACACTTCCCTTGTTGGGTAACAGACCCTGGCCATTCATTCTATTGTCAGTTGATTTATTTGCCCCACTGTAACATTCCATCTCCCAGAAGGTCTCATCCTTTTAGATTTCCTCACTGAAATTTTGAATACATTTATCTTTATCCCTCCTCCCCACACATGTATTTTCATTAATTAATTAAGATAAAAAAAAAAAAGAGATTTATTGAAACTTTTACTCATGTTTGTTGTTCTAATAATTATTCTTTACTGTGGTTCTAGTACGGTCTAGCAGCAAATCAAGCAGTGTCCGTACTTCGGTACTTCTACAGCAGCTCAGCGGTTCATCTGGTGATTCTGCTTGCCAACATCATCGAGATCTACACCATTGTTCATCAGGTTCTGACAGTCCTCCCAACTCACTCCTTGTGACTGATCCCCCTGAATGTACCAAGGGGGGCCCAAGTCCAGATACCAGTTCTACTTCATCAGCTAACAGCCATACAGCCACTCGAACGGCAACACGATCGCAGATCAAACACAAGAACCAACTTCACAAATTAAATTCAGCAGGTAACATATTGCACTGAGTTGCTTTCAAGGCTTTGGTTAGTTGGAGATATTTTCACGTAATTTTTATACAAAGAAGACAGTTGAGTGCACTGATTACTGGAAGTCACAATCAGAAAAATGATAAATTCATTAGATTTGTTTTTATGCTGGTAGATTTTCCTCACTGATTAGAAATTGAGATATATGAAGCTCTGTTGTTGCCTGTCTTGTTAACTTTAATGTTGACATTGTTCGCTAATGACTCATGACCGCAGTAACAAACAAGAAAAAATAAAATTTTACTTTATTCTCGCAGATTGCTTTGCAGGTATTTAAGCCTTGAAATTATTGGCATCCTAGAGTTATATGACTCTGGTTTACAGAAATGGACTCTGAGATTTATCACAGGAATCTAATAAACATTATTCCTTCATCATCATCCTGGTACATATTGAACACACCTTTTCACTGGTTCATTCACATATTTTCTTCCAGTCATCATTCACAGTGTCATATAATCAGTATATAAAGAAGTATAGTAAAAATATTGTATAGGAATAATTACAATTATGAAGTAGATAACTAAATTGCTAGATGAACTGAAGATGGGATGCCTGTACTTTAATTGACACAAAGAAAGTAAGAAAGAAAGTACAAAAATGTAAATCCATTTTTAGTTACTTTCATTCATTATGTTTTTATGCCATTCACTGTGCCTCAACTGCTTGGCAAATCTTTGATGTAGTGCATAATCTTATTCTTATTTTGGAATTAATAAGAAATGTTGGTACACATGCTAGTCAAACTTGCTTTAGAAAGTTAGCATCATTAAATTATTTACCATGTCTAGGAATACTTTTACTGACCTCAAAACTTGCTGTCATTACATTAAAAGAACTTTCATTGAATTTTATGAGGAATTATTGTTAAATTGGTCATTCTCAGTGCATGTGATTTAAGCTGTTTTTGCTGTTATTCACCTTTCAGTAAGCTAATTGTGTTAAATTTCTTGATGTTATTTAATGGATAAAGATCTACAAACCACACTATTTAAAAAGCCAATGCGCAATGCCTTTCATTTCCCTCAATTACAACCAAATTTGAAATTCTCTGCCATTTAATTTGACACAGTTTATATTTTACATTTTCTGAAGTAAACACACCAAATCACCCCATGAGATGAATTCTTTTGTGAAGCTTATAAGATGACTGCAACTGGTATAATTAAAATGATGGAAACTTCACATACAGGAAAACCCGTGAAAAAAAAAACAAATAGGGAAGTTGCTTCAGTCCTTTATTTAATCCTATGGCACAGTTGTGTACTTATTACCAAGTAAATAAAGGCTTTTATATATGCAGTTCTGCATGCACAGACACAAATTCCATTCTCAACTACACTTATCCACAAGTAAATTAAACATTTGTTATAAATTCAGTTACTATTTTCTTAGACCAGCTTAGTGATATTTCATAGCCAATGTGTGTGACTGTTCATGCAGGTTCCAACTCCTCTTGTGGAGCTGTTACTTGCTGCCAGGGCTGCCAGTCTCGAGCATCACTTCAGGTTCTGCCATCCCACCAGGACGAAGAACTAATCATCCTTAGACGTGAAATAGAGGGCTTGCAGGCAGAACTGGGAATTGCCATTGCAAGGCTGCAAGAGTCTGAAAGGCAGCTCAAAGACAGGTAGTAGCAAACTTGGTGTGATAAATGGTAAACCAGGCAATTAATTTAGGACAGTATTTCTCAACTGTTTTGCCATGATACTTTGGATCAAATGCATTTTTAAATATTTAACAGAGATCCGGTTCAGGCTTGTTTTGTTATCAGTCTGTATTGCTGTTTCTTCATTGCTGCATGAATAGTTTTCATACTTCCATATATTTTTTATGTACTAAGTTTTCTTTCAGAGCAGCCATTTCTAATCTTTGTCTTAATGCTCTTTTTGTCACTGTTTTAATTCCTAGAACATTGTAAATTGGCTAATTTTTTCTTACATATAATTATATAAAAGAAAAATTTAAAGAATTATTTAGCAGTAACAAACTTTATGCCTTCAATTATGCATCCACACACAGCTTTACTGTAATATGTGGTTTGTTTTGCTGTGTGATATTGACTGTATTTTAATGCACAATTACGTGGGATAAGTTGAGAAACACTGATATAAGCAGTTGATATACATTGGACTTCCCATGTAACCTTCTACAGGCATTATTGAGAGGGCAGTCCCAGATTTTACCCTATTATATAATACAAATGGAATTACTTTGTTATTTCATATTAAAAAAATAATTTGTGAACTGAAGACAATATCTGATACAAAACTGTGTGACTGTGAGAATATCAGGTTCTCATTGTACTTCAGAATTCATATTAAACTGTTTTTTTACAATACTAACCATCATCTTACCATCAAGTACATGCTGAAAATCGATACATATGCATTTACATTCCTCAAAGCTTGAATTATGGTTGGTAAAATTTTAGAACAAGCATATGATATCTATTGGAGAAATTACAAAATATTTATTTTAAAACTATGACTTTAAGGCTCTGTTCACTGCCTTAGTTATCAAATTAAATGTTAATTAGAGAAGACAAGCTTTAAAGTCTGCAGATCTCAGAACTACAGCATCATTCCATTGAGTGCTAATTTTAAATTAGAGGGACAGCTTATTTAGTTGTGTTCCCGACATGACTTATGGTTGGCTGCTTTCAGACTAATGTCACCCAGTACAATTACGGAAGCACCTTCTGATGCAAACAGCAACATGGGAGAGCATTTGGTGCGATGCTATGGCAACTTGTATGCGGCTGCTCGAGTGGATGCACTTGATTCGCTAGACAACCTTCCAGCTCTAAAGGATGCTGATGAACTTAAGTCTAAAATATTGTTCTCGGTTGTTGTGGTGAGTCGCCCTGCTGTGACTCACTTGTTCGCTGCTTCTGGATTCTGTATTTCTTTCCATCCTGGGTGACTGGAATATGTTGCATTTTGGCCTTGTGTTTCTGTCTAAAAATAATTCTTTTTCTAAGTAATACATACTCACAATCTTCTGTCTTCTATACATGTATACATTATGGCATAATATTTCAGGATAATAAGAATTATGATTTATTATATTTAGTAACAACCAAGGGGAACCACAGCTATTTTATTTTCCTGTTCAGATCTTCTTTTATGGTTCTTTTTTTTAGGTAGACTGATTGGGTAATATATCTGTACAAAAATCAGTGCCTGAATTAGTATCATGCCACAAGTGCAGGTCTGACATGAATGGTGATTAATAGCTTTTTGTACATTCAGATGGACTAAAATCTGTGATCATGTACATGTAAGGGTCTTAGGAGATCTGCAAGAGAGGGTTAATAACTTTTGATTCTTAAACCTTAACATGGCACAAAGGAATATATGGAGCAGGAAAGCAATTTAATGGTACTGGTTCTTATCTTAACATAAATATGAAGTAAAGTATGAGTAATGGACATTTGTGGTAAATACGGTAGCTTGATACTTCAGAGCTTATGCGCATTGCACAGATAAAACACATAAATAAACAAAAAGTAGAAATCTAAAGGTAGAATTTGTATATACAGTATAGTTATTGTTTTAATGCTGTATTTCTTATGTTCAAACTCTCTTCCTGATATCTTTCTCTATTTCAAGCATTTCTTTTACTTTTAAATTTCCATAAGCATACTTTGGTTCTGATTTATTGTACTAAAAATTTTATATATACATATATATATATATATATATTAAATCATTCATTGAGGTTTAAAGTTATAACATATTAAAATAACATAATTGCTTATTTTACTATTAACAATACACATAGAGTTGACTATTCTGTAACTGTTACTGGTTAAGAAATTTACTGGGATAACTTATCTGCAGTAGTTAGAAGTCTGAGTCTGGATATGTAAGAATGCCCACCCACAATGTGTACATACTAGTTCTTAGTATCTGACTTCACATATCTAGTATATGAAATAAGGTGAAAGGTAGCCTTCCACTCTCTGCTGGACTGGTAGTCTGTTGCCTCTCCACAAACACAGTGAAATTCTAATTACAACAGAGACATCATATCCATTCTACTGTCTTATATATGTTGATGGAAATATCTCTCAACTATCTAAATCTGTCAGAGATATAGGTTTCTTTGATCACTTGAGTGTTGCTTAGCTGGTGAATAAATTCCCTGCTTTTATGGAACCCAAAGTTTCAGTGGTGTTCAGAAGAGTTTACCATTGGGCCTCTTTTTAAATCACTTTCAACCATTTAACATCTTCATGTCTTGTTTCTGAAAGATCCATTTTATATTATCCTCCTGAGCCCAGGTTTAAGTCACCTCTTAGCTTCTGGCTTTGTAATCAGAATTCTGATGCACAAGTTTCTGTGTCTATATATATAAGTAAATACAATGTTACACTAAATTAAAAATTAATTTAACTTTCCTGTTTCTAGTTGTGTTAATACACAAATTAAAATTCAAGTATGGCTCAACAGGTTATGTGTATTTTGTCCTAGTAAAATAACCACAACCCTTTCTCTGACATGAAAAATTATCTCTTTTATTTGTGTGAAGTTAGTTTGTTATGCCAGGGCTTATCATTTTGACACAAATTCCTATTCAAATTTTTTATGAATTTCTAAATACATGATTCTGTTATTTACACTGAACAGTATAAGTGGTTCAAATTTAAAATAATTCATTGGAAAGATCAAGGTTTCTCTGTTGCAGAATCATGATGAAAGAACACAGGTTTAAAATGAGTATGCTTATGACAGTTAGATTATACCTTATTGAAAATTATTAACAGAAATGCATCACTGAAATATAATTATTAACTTACATTTTTTACTAGCCTTATCATACAGAGTGAAGAATTTTAAGAAAAGACTTCATAGGTTCTCAGAACTTCATTTTTCCAGAAGAGAAATATGTTAAATGCTATTGTGGACATTTGATTTTGTTACATTTTATTGTATTGTATTGTGTGTGGCAAAGCTTAAATTTTGTCTCTACAAGTATGAAAATGTGGCAACACACCTGTACACTGGTTTTCCTATTAGGTACTTGCAAAGTGCATTAGATGGACAGTGTTGTCCTGCATGGTGTTGAATTATGAAACACTGTTTACTGTCCTGTTGTTTATGTTATAATTCCTTGATTTAGGCAAGGCAAGCAGTAGTCAGGTCCAGATACATTCCTCTTGACCCTAATTTTATGATCAGCTTAAATAATAGTTTTAACTGATACAGTACTTTACAGTCTGAACTGCTTCATTTTATTTGTTAATATTTCAGTCCTATGTAACATGGACCTAGTAGAGTAGTGTGTTAAATAATTGCAGTCACAAAATAGATCTGAAATCACAAAAGATAGGAAACAAAAGTGGCACCATGATGGCTAATTAACCAGCTCCATGCAACAAAGTCCTCCTTGAGAAGCTGATCATTCAGTTGGCCAAGAAATTCCCTGCCTCTTATGCAGCCTGAAGGTTCAATACAGAGTTCTGAAGAACATCAACTTATTCAAGATACATTTGAATATTATCCTTTATATGTATACAAGTCAGAGTAGTTCACTATAATGCTGAAGCAAGGGTTGCATGAATAGGATTTAGTTTCTGGGAGGGGAAGATTTTTCTCTGTGCTGCTACACTCAGACCACCTCTGGGAGCACTTAACCTTCTGTCAAATATATACTGGGGGCATTTTCCCTTGGTGTTAATGCAACTGGGGCTAGAAGCTGGCCAAGACTATATGTGGAGTTTGCCTCTTTAATATATTATCATGGAATAGTGCTTGATTGAACACAGGGATAACTTTACCTGCTATGTCCAGGTCTTCCAGGTTGTCGCTTTCAGTTGTATTTCCCAGCTATAATTTTGTATGCATTTCTTACCTCCCTGCTTGATGGGGACTATACAGAATGATTGTTTATGTAATATATAATGGTGCTGTATTATCTATATAAAAGATTTAATGAAACATTTTGAGATGCATTTGAACCTTACATTTTGACTGCTCCTTGTACTTTTAAATTAATTCTGGGTTGTAGCACATTGTGGCCTTATAGAAGTTTACCAATGTTTTAGACTACTAGACTACAAGGTGCTCCAACCCAAAAGACAGCCATCTCCATACTCACTGCCATAAGAACCTCAGATCCCGCTAATTATGAATGCATATCATTGTCACAAACGAGGTTTTGGCTTAGAAATCACTTGTTGCTCTGTCCTGTGTGTGAGTGCTGTGATGTGAATTGACCTTCTTTAGTCTTTATAATATGAAATGAAATGTTCTGTGACAAAGCGCTAATGTGAACTATACATTCTCCTTTATGAGCAGCTGGCATTCAGGTCAGCACAGTCATTGCTGGCACTGAAGAAAGACCATGTGAGACGAATTCTGCATATTCAGCCACCCACAGTTAGCAGTGCCACACCCCCTGAGCCTGTAGCAGCTGAACTGGAAAGAAGTGTTGCAATCTACCTCAGGAAGACAGTGGATAAATTTGACCTCGCCAAGAGCATTGAGGTGAGGGGACCTGAAACTGTAATAAATAAATTAACAATATTATGCCTTTCCTGTGAAAAGTATTTTTAAACCACAGGAACAACTAAGTAGGTTAAAAAATTTAAAAAAAATAAGTTTGTGTAAATTGCCATTCAAGAGGACTGCAGTCTAGTAAATTCAGACATGGCAAAATAGTGCTTCATTTTGTTATGCATATTATCTTTCTTCATCATCAGTGTGTCTTTACAGATTAAGCAACTTAATTTCTGTACTGGCCTCAAAGTTGTCATCCTGGCATCATATTGGTATTTTTACTGTTTGTGTTGTAGGATTATAATTACACATTATTTTTGGCCACTTGTCTTCATCCACCTTTTCACCTCTTTCTGTGCTAATGAACTTAAGATTCTCACCTTTTTATCTTGTAGTTTTCATTCTTGCTATTTCTATTATTTGTCTGAGTCACCCCATGTCCATGTCTCATTATCTTATTTCACCACTGGTTTAAGTAATACTGTATTTTGTATCTTTTCAAATATGGATTCAGTTTACAAAAGTTATTCCACTTTAAGTATGTGATTTGTTCTCCAAACCTTTGTCACTATCTGATTTTATATTCTGAATATTATGATATGCTGTACTTTTTATATTCAATGTTATGAGGCAAGTAAGTAGGGTAAGGAATTTATTTTAAGTCAACTTTTTTTTCCTGAAAATAATACGTATAATAGACAAGCAGAAGTGATATGTATGATAAATTAATCTGTTATGATAGACACCTGTGCTTGTGTACAGGAGGTCTGCTGCCAGATCTGGGCTACACTATATGACTATCCGTGTCTCAAATCATGTCCTGGACTTGTGCAGTATGTGAAAGATGCAGTTCATCTAGCCTGGGGTCTTGTTAACCAGGTATGCTTATCATTTAATGGGGCTTAATGTGTGTCTCTATATAATATCATTCAAATATATTGCTGGTTTCTTATTAATCTTGGTATGTACGTCGTGCCATTGAAGGCTACCCTACCTTTGTACATCTCTTTTCCTACAAACAATAGTATGATGGTGGCAATGCAAATGTCTGAGGGTGAAATTACGTTAAAACCACTTAATACAGTGTATTGAATTTTGTGTAGTAAGAGAGCTTCTCAAAATATGTAACTTTTGTTATGGCAATGGTTTGTTAGAATGTAAAGCAAAAACACAGAATTACACAAAACTGATGATTTTTGATGGCAATCTCTAATGAACTATCAGTTAGTTATGAGATTTTAGATGATATAGATTGTAAAATCTGTAAATTTTATATGAAGCCTTTTTTGGTACATTAGAAGTTACAAATATGATAGCGGTGCAAGACTGTGAGGTTATATATGAAAAATTTAATATAGTCTGATATTATACTAGTGGAAAATACTAATGAAAATGGATAAATAAATTGTATAATTATTATTATTTTTAGTTCCAACTAACCTTATCATGCAAGATTAAAGCATCTGAAGAACAGTAGGCATCACATTCTTTCCAGAACATTTTTTCTACATCTTTATGAAGCCATAGTGAACAAAGAGCAATGTTTCAGTTTATTTCTGTTATGATTAGATTATGGCACTCGAAGAAGAAAAGTTTAACAATGTTGTATTTTTTAATGTAGTCACCACCGTTCATCCTTGAGTATGAGCAGAGGACTTTACGAAGGGATGTACATGTTCGATTCCATTCATCTAATCCAGAAAGTGAGCAAATTCGCACTTACTTGTGGCCTGCACTTCTGGAAGGGATAGGAGGACCATGTGTTCATAAAGCTGTTGTTATCACCTGACCAGACTCTGGACAGCCTCACTGATAACGGTAAGCATTAAGCATGGTAGAATGCTGTGTGAGGCCTCATAATTTTTTGAATGCATCAGGTAACAGCTCTGTAATTAGCAGAACCTAGGATATTGGTGGACTTTTAAACACAGTAATGAAATTCAGGTCTATAAAATACAGCGAATTTCTTGGCAAGCTGAGTGTACTGTACAATTCTCAAGTAGGACTCTGCCACTTGAAAAGAGGCTTTAATATATGATACCTGAAATCAGAAACTTACATTGACTATATTGTATACTTAGGATAAATATGTTGCTTTAATGAGTATACTTATTGATAGACTGGAAAGGTAACAGTATAAAGGAACAGTGTATTTTACATGGTAGATCCAAAGACACCAATTTACAGAGAATTGATTGTAATTTTACATGCCTGAAAGGACTGTATTAGAAATACTAATAGTGTGTAAAGCCACTCTGTCATGATTAATGTGCAAGGTTTGAACATAAAATACAACAGTAGAGCATTATCACTTTATAAATAATCTATTTGATGGTATGTGCCAAATTAGACTACTGATTTTCTTTCTAATAAATTATTTATTATGGTACAATTCCTCTTTCAGAACTGGAGAATGTTGCTACCAGAATTAACACAAGTGATTGCATCTGACATGGATCGGCTACAGTATTTTCTGTCTTTGTTCTAAAATCAAGATGCTGTTAAGAGCTGCAGAAATATGGAAATAATTCTTATATATGTGTCTTTTTATTTTGAGAATAGGTGTCCACTTTTTTGGATGAATCACCTACTGAGCCACCTTATCCCTTCATTATCCTATGACACTGTACATCATAGGCTGAGCTGACACCTACTCAACATTCAATTTCAGAGGGTTAAGACATCCAGGTTTAGTTTAACGCGCTGTCTGATATATTCATTGCAACTGTTACTTAAGAAATAATACAGAGACTCCAGTTTATCATGAGTCTAACTGCTCTGAATTCTGAAGTTAGCAGGCTACCTGCTTATTTGGAGAAATAACCGTTAACCCTTGCTTGCTCAGACCAGTGCATGGTTGTTCTTTGAATAGTGGCTGCATCTATGCATGTCTGTTGTGAAATTAAGCATAGCATTTAAAAAAGAGTATTTATACGCAGTGCTTTTAGAAGAATAAGACTTGGAGGAAATGTCGAAGAAAGTTTCATAGAAAATTTCCTGAAAGTGTATTGCCTTTCAAAGTAACAATTTACAGAATAGTGGCAAATTTTCATGCAATGGGGTCGGTGTTAGACAAGAAGAATGTCTGAAAAAGCACATGCTAACCAAAGAAACACATGATAATATTTGTGCTCCACATTGTAAAAAAATGTTAAAGTTACTAACCTGCAAAATGACGGTTCTGCGTAGTGTTCTAGTCCAGAGTGTGAAACAAGAATTCGTTATGTACATGGTTTCAGGATTCTGTGACAGTGGTCTTCTTGACCCAGAACTTACATTTTATTGTGATGAAATGTGATTTCAAATAAGTAGGTAGTTAAACAGCCAAAACAATATATACTTGTCCACAGAAAATCCTTGTGCTGTTTATGAAATGCCTGTAAACAATGTGAAAGTCAGACTGTTGAGCAGTGATAGTGTTCAAAGATTAATAAGGCCAATTTTTTGGACAAAATGATAAATTTTTAACGTTATTTAAGATTTAATCGTGACACCCTTTTCGTTCTGATTAACTGACTGGAGATGGAAAAATTTATGGGGCTAGTACGTGCTAATACAGTAGTATGCTGAAAATGAAGTGTAGGTGAATAATTCCTATCCACCACAAAAACTAAAAGAAAATATTTGGAAGGAAATTTCCATTATTCCAAAACAAAAAAACTTCACTGTATGTCTTCAATCATTTTTTTTAAAATGTTAAGTTCTTCACCAGAAGGCTGGAACTTTAAGAATGTATTTTGAACTAAGGTAGGCCATACTATGGGGGGAAACAGACAGTGAACAAATGCCTTCTCCAATTCAGATATGTAGGATCATTGTTGTAATACCATATGGGACCCAGACTCATGATAAACTAGACACCTGTACTTCATCATATATTTGTGGTAAAAAGTATGTATAAGAGGCTCTGATTTATAATTCAGATAGCAATACTGTGAGGTGGCCCTTCCTTATTGATATTTTTAAAATTTGTCCATTTTAAAAAGGAGGATTAGTTCAAAGAATTACTATTTGTATTAACACATTCAAGCTGGTTAGGGTTCATGTACATTTCTATACAGTAGTTAAGTTTAATAGGCTGGAATGAGAAGTATGATTAACTGGTATCACTCAGCAAAAAGACCAGTAATTTATAGCATGCAGCAATCCTACAGGTTATGTGACCCATGGTTTGCCATTTTGTTGTATTGTTTCCAGACATGATATTATTAACTTTTTTCTAAACTTCTAAATTGGACATTTTTGCAGTAGTGTGCTAAAGGAAGTTCTGTTTATTTAAGTTCAGACAGGGCCTTACATGTAACCTCTTCCCTTATGGCTTATTGATCAAAATTGTTTCTGTTTCTCATTTCCTCTGTGCATATACACAACCCATCCATCTCACATTCTTTAATTTAATTATCCTAACAATATTACATGAAGAGCACAAATTACAGCCTTTTTATTATGCAACTTCCTAAATCCTTCTGTTACTTCCTTCTCTTAGTTCCAAATATTCTCCTCAGCCCTTTGTTCTCAAAGAACCTCAAACCATATCCATAACAGGGCTGAGTATGTGATTTTATGGTGCAGACTTACATATACTGTTTTTTTTTTTCATTTTATCTTCCATTTTTTTCAGAAAGCCATTACGTGAGCATATAATGATGCTTATGGCTTTCATATTTAGACACCTGTTATCATTAGGGTCACTACATTAATATAATTTGAAGCCCCCCCCCCCCATAATCATTTGGAAGATAAATATAATGTGAGAAGAATTGCAAGTGCATTCTTTGAAACTTGTTTCTCTTGTTAGTTGTAGCAGCATCATAGATAGAGCTCTGATGTTTTAAAAGATTCAAGATTTATTTCTCATATATTACAATGATGTACTTTATGAGACAATTAATTTTTGTCAGAAATAAATACAACAAAAATTAAATAAATATATATCAAATATGAGAAATATATTCAGATATGAATCAGTACATTTCTGTGTGCCATTTATATTTGTAAAAGTTGGTAACATTATTTTAACAATTATAAATATGTATTAAACATATGTGAATTTATATAAAAACAATTTTGGAAATTATACCCATGTTTTTTTCTACTGTATATAAAACTTAACACTTTCATTAATCTGATCTATGGAGGGAAGAGCAAAGAAGACTAAAGTAATGATTGTGATGGGATGTTTTGCATCAATGCAATTCAGTCATTCTGGAAAACCTACTACTGCCACTGATTGATAGCAAAGATAACTTTAAAGGAACAGTTGCGTAGTCTGCACAGAGTTTGAGTAAAGTTGTTGATATTTCATTATATAACCACATGAACTTGTTGATTTGAGAAAATCAATTTTGGAGTTTGACGAGTAGTTATTCTTTTTGCCGACTGGACTATTGCTTACGTCACCTAACTTCCCTTTGTGTTTACTTCTGAATAGTGTATAGGTGCCACGACAACACGCTCGGCGTTGGGTTTGACACCAATAGCATTGGCGATGTATATCTAGTGTGTTGCGCCCGCCAAGCCACGTGATATTGACCAATCACAAGTCGTCAGTGACTAATCTGGTTGATAAAAGTTTATGGACAAAAGTGTAAGTTTGTGTTTTTGGTATTTTCTCGATCGTTCAACTGTGTAAGTAAAAAGTTACAATATAATCTGAGAAATGTTGGAATTGTGCTAGAAGAAAGCTTAATTTATTACATTTGATGTATCCTTCATAGGTATCCACAATATAAATACAAGATACAGATATAACCTTATGGATAAAGTGAAGCTTTCGCAGTGACTTAAGTTGATGAAAGACCCTCGGGTTACAAGCCGCGTCAGGTGGCAGAATAATGAATAAACCATATCTTCTTTATTCATCATTCAGCCACCTGACACGGCTTGTAACCCTAGAATCTTTCATCAAGATATAACCTTCATCCTCATATAACCTTGATCTTTTCTGAAACAAGTTACAAAGTATTTTAAATTATCGTTGTAAACCTTGAGCAAAATTAGTCTGTTGTGGTGACTTTAATATTAATTATCTTTATAAAAGTTACTATAGACAATGTGTAAACTCCCTACTAGCATCTTTCAATCCCATGTGAATAGTTAGTTTCCCCACAAGAAGTCAAAATTACTCCAGTACTACTATTGACAACGTTTTTCTAGACTGTCCCAGGAAAGATCATATTTATATTGAACCAGTGATGAATAGGCTATTTGATCATGATGCACAACTTCTAGTTATAAAAAATATAGAATCAGTCCTCAGTTATAATTACAGGAAATGAATCAGCACACTACCATTAATTTGTAGACCAAGGAATATAGTTGTTTCTACTTCTTCAATTGTTTTGTCTATACCTAGCTTAACACAATTTTTGGTGGTAGTACTGAATTTCATGAAATTTGTTTTGTCCAAATTTAATGTTTGTTTATTGGCTTTAATCCAGTTGGCAAAGACATCATTCATGCAAATTTGGAAACATTCAATTCTGGATGTGAAATAGTAATATTAGCATCAGCTGCAAAATGTATGGGAATGTAAATAAATATTATTCTATTCTAGTATAAGCTAAGGATGTAAAGATGTCATATTATGACTGTGAACACTTGGTACAATAAAACACCAAAACAAAATTATAATTGCATACTTATTACATCTATTTATATAAATGTTTACAATATTTAATAATTCTCAATTGAACTAAATTCTGCTTTAGAGTAGAAAGCATGAGATAAAATTTAATATTTTAATGTTGTCTGAAATACTTTGCATTTTAATGCCATCTGGAGGAACACTGAATAATTTGATCTATGCATATTAAGCACATTTCTGGTAACTAGTGAGGTTTGTGCTTGGCTGATGAGATCATGCTTATGTCTTGTACTTATGCTGTGTTTGTCATATTTTGCTGCACATTTCTTGAGAATACTTTATTACAAAACTTTGCTATTGTTGAGAGTGTGAATATTGTTATTCCTAATTTATTATTAGTTGCAAATAATTGTAACAATATTATTGCATGTAGTTTTGTAGATAGTGTCAGTGCATTCTTTCACATGGAAGAAACGGTTTGAATTACTGCATGTTCATTGTATAAATATTTTGGATCAAGATGTGAAAACTACTTGATTTGGATATCAGATATGTTACATGACAAGTTCTGCTGCTGCTTTTAGCACCACTACTGTAACTTATTTTAACTGATATATTATATGAAATTGGTATAAGTTTGCTGTGGGGAATGTTTTTTCTCTAAGTTTAAATTTTTGTAGATTATTATTTATTGAATGTGTGGTGCTTCTTTCTAGCACCCTGTATTATCTAGGCATATCAGTGAATTTTTGGGGTTTATTTTCATCAGTAAGTTTAGCACAAATATTTTAAACTTGTCTGCACTTGCTGCTGGTTCTGTTTTATTTTGTTTTTACTATTGATATAAAGATTTTATTATATTTATTTGATTTCAGGTTACAATGAACAGTCTTGAAGAACTAGGAAAGAAGGCTTACCAGAAACAAATATGGGGCGATTACATAGAAGCCATTAATATATATAATACAACCATAGAAAAATATCCAAATGATCCACGACTACTTAATAACAGATGCCTTTGTTATATTGAAATTAAAAATTTTAACAAGTAAGTTCTTCAGTTATTCTTCAGGTATTAAAATCCATATTAATAGAACAATCTCTTAGAGCCAAAATAAAGTTATTCTAGAATTCAGATATTACAGCAGGTGGCTATAGGTTGTATGGCAGCAAGAACTGTTATGTGGTGAGATTTAAACCAGTCAGTGTCAAACAGTTTTTGTTACTGCTAGTATTTACTCTCTTATGGCTTTTTCAATTTTGTATAATTTTCCTACATCACAGCCAGATATGCTACCATCTGAACTATCGCTGACAACATAAGTACACCTGCTTTTATGAGACTTACAAACTAGCAATGAAGAAAGCAGAGAATAAAATTGTGTATTACATTGAAATAGAGGAGTGTCAACACCTAATACTTTGGCCAGGAATTTGTAGGAGGGTCTATTTCCATACTGTAAGTAATAGTAAAGTAAAGCTGTTCCACAAAATGCTGTGTTGGCACTTAGTGGGAGAGGAGATATAGCTCCTACTCATTCTTAACCTCAGCTCTAGATAGGAGTGAGTGGTCATTGTCATGCCCCGGCCTAGCTTTATCCCCTCGAAAGGACTCTGGTATCCATTGTATTGGAGACTGGGTAGGCCCCAGAGTCAGTCTGGACATAGAGGCTAGAGGAAAAATCCTCTGCCTCTGTCAGGAATCAAACCCCAGTTGTCACTGTACTGACTGAGCTGTTGGAAGACTGGAGCCAAATCAGAGGGTTTCAATAAATTCTGTTCCCTTGTTAGTGTAGTAGAATATGAAGGGTTGGACTTTATAATGTTGTGATTATGTGTATGGTCTGAAGGTAATGAATCTTTAGGTTTTATGGATGAAGGGAATTTATAGGCCTGCTGAATAGCTATCAACTTTTCAAAAAATACCCTGCACTATGTAACTGAGATGTTGATTGTGGTCTTGTGGGATGTGATGCTGTGTAGTCTTATAGGTGGTACTTGCTCTTGTAGACACATTGTTTGTTGGTTTGTTATTGTTACAAGTTCTTTATAAAACTTCTAGTTAACGTAGAATTGAATGCTTTTTTTCTCTCATTTAGAGCACTGGAGGATGCAGAACGTATGATACATCATTTTCCACAACATGCCAAGTCTTATTATCGTAAAGGTGAGGTACTTGCGGCTTTAAAGGTAAGTAATACTGTCCTCAAGGACACATTTTTATGCCACTCATTTATGCTGCCAGTGATGTCATATTGATTCTTTTTTTATTATTTTAAAGTAACTTTGATGCCACAATCAGAATATTCCTTAATAATTATCTTGAATTACCTCATGCTCTGCTTACATGTTTTTGGCTGTGTGGCAAATTTGTATTTTTCACTTCCACCCATTGGAGTATTGTATGTCAACAGAATTGTCTGACACTCAGTCCATAATTTGTACTTCTGATGTAGACTTGTCACTTCTAGACTCATTTAAAGAAATGTCTTTCACTTCACCACTATAATTGTCACAGTCACTTTGTGTTTCCTAACCACAAAATAATGTGTGTCATGTTTGTGGTCAACTTCTTTAAAAAGAAATTGCCAAATAAGAGTATATATAATATGTTAGCATTGGTTTCATCTAGTCAAATGAAGCTCAGATTATTTCTAGGAACAAAATAAATTGGAATAATAATTTGTAGCTGGACCATGAAACTGAACATTCCTGATTTCAAGGTACAGAATGTATGACAGTATGCTCCAGTACAGGGAAAACTTTTCTTTTTTCTTTATAAAGTTTCAAATGTCTCTTTCACTTTCAGCGTTATATTGAAGCAGAAGAGTCATTTCAAAAAGTTTTATCAATGGATTTAGAATGTGAAGATGCTAGACGACAGCTGTTGAATGTTCAAGCCATGCATCTGTGTCAGCTTGGTTATAACAAGGAGCAGGCATTGAAAGCTCTTCGTCTTACAATAAACAGCGTTACACATACTGCAAGCATTGAGGTAGTATGTGTTGTCTGTAAACTAGTTGGTTTGTTGCAAGTTCAGATATGTCCTTCTGTTGATTTATTTTATTTTATAGGATTAAGTAAAAATGTATTATTGACAGGGCTACTTAACAGTAAGGATATTATGTACATCTAGATGAGAATAAAGGTTGATAGTGTATCTCATTCTTTGTACAAAATGAAACTTCCTTTGCATTTTATAGTCATGTAATGGAGAAAGTGGCAATTAAATTGATGAATGGTTACATACATTTTAGGGTGTTGTTGATTGTACCAGGCCTGTGGTGTGTTTTTCAGCAAATTAATGTGCCACTATGTTCTGACATAATTTTTCATTGTGTTTGTTCTTTTAGGATGCAGAAAATATCCTCAAATATGGAACACAAGAAATACTTGACCAGAACAGTGACATAGATAGTGACTGTGTTTACTACTCTGATGATGATGATAATGGCAAGAAGGAAGACAGGAATGTTTATGATCCATTTGTGGAGTGAGTATTAACCTTAACTTGTAATGACCAATCAGTAGTTGGTAACAGAATTTATGGCCACATAATGAAAGAAATGTATAATTTAATCCTCTGGATTGTGATGAAATGTTGTCATCTTACTGGTTACCAACATTTTTCAGTGTAGTGTGTTTCTGTGAAATGTTGATAACTGCCTACAAGGCCACACAGTATCACAACTTACAATACCACAATCCACCTTTTCACTGCCATTAAAATATCTTATCTCCATTCTTTTGTGATGACATCATGTTGTTGTGTTTGCAGACCTTTAAAAAAAATTCTTATCTCTATATTTAAAATTATTTTTTTTAGAGGCGGCCTGGTGACAATATTTATATTATCAAGACATTTTAAGACAATGGGTAAATTTATGTGTGGGCATTAGTGAAGCAGATTGAAACTTATTTCATGGTTTTATTCTAAAGAACAGAAACAAGCTCAATGAGACAGTGCAAAAGGCCTTATCAAGTGTCGGTTACCTTGGTATCTTTTGACTTTGTTTCTGTTGCGTTAGTGTCTTTAGTTTTGTCTTCCAGGCTGGACTCAGCTAGTAACCTTTTTTCCTGTTAAAGTTATAGTATAGATTGTTCTCAGTACCTTCAGCCATAAGACATTTCTCTGTTTTGATTATATAATATTGTAAAGGTCTTCTTCATCATGTGGGAAATGAAAATTTGGTTGTAAGCCCCAAAGGGGACTTAATGTCAAGAACACTGGCTGCACAGACAGTTGCAGAGTAACATTAATATTATTTGTGAGATTTCAGGTTCTCAGAGTGGCAGGTATAAAGATGACAGTCTTCTGGAATGTTACGCCATGTAATCTGGTTGAAGTTCACTGAAATTTCATAGGTATTTGCTGCCTCCGTCATTAGAACAGTAAACTTCTACCAGACTACACAGCCATGTAGTTTGTAATAATTATTTAACTACTTTTCAGCCCATCAAATCCACTGAAAAGCAGTACTCTTTGGGTTGGTTTTGTAACCAAGTCTGTAACCAAGGATATGCTTCAAGATTTATTTTCAGAGTAAGTATCTCAGAACAGCACCTGAAGAAGAAAATGTGTGTTAATTTTCTATGAGCATAATTGTAAGAATATTGTATTAGACATGATGACTCATTCATTTCCATAAGGGACAGAACTTTTTCTTTATGGCCACATTCAAACTGGTTGTGGTTCATACTCAGAACTGTTATTCAGATTATTCATTGTGAAGCAGCCACTGTGTGAAACTGACCACGTACCTTCACCTAATGGTGAGATCTACATTGTATGGAGTATTGCTTCCTACATCCTCTGTACACATTTGAAAAGTTGTGTTAAGGTACAGTGACAATAGTCTTCTGGGTTTTGCATTATCTGGAAATTGTAAAAGTTAATAGACAGACTGTCTCTTATTTCGCTATAAAAAAACCCTGGCAATAATTTTCTGTCACTTTGATCTTGAAGGAGGAAATAAAAAGTTTCTCTTGAAACATCAGTTTTTACCATTTGACTTTGTGTGATACTCAGAAAACTATACAATGAGTGTGGGTTACTGTAAAAACCTGTATCTGTTAAGATTAAATAATGTGGGTTAGTCAGAAAATAACATCTACAAATATTGAAACTTCACAGAGTTAGGATCTGATCGGTAATTTTTTCTTTCTTTCTCCATTTGAGGTGGGTCACAATGGCCTCATGTAGTGTCTTGTTTTTGTGGGAGCTGTACAGGTGTAAATAGTAATGGCAGAACAAGAAGATAATATTAGTTAATATGTAGATTGTTGTTGAAGCTTCAGGTTAGTGAAAGCCTCTTCATCTGAATTGCTACATCTGTCAGTATGCTTGCTTCTACAGCAAAGAGGGGATTGGGCAGATTCTTCTCTCAGTAATGTTCTAGACTTGTCTTTAGAAGGTACCTGTTTGAATCTCAGCTGGATGACTGTATATCTAGACAGTGTTTTCATAGTTTTCTTCAGTATGTACATGCATGTTTTAGGATAGTACCTGGAAATGGTACAGCCACCTCTTTGCCACAGTCATCTTCCAGTCTTCTTTGATGGTAGTTTAAATAACATAAAAATTATTCAGCATTGTAGGAGGCCATGTTCTTGGTTTTTAAAACAGATGAAACATGGACATTCCTCACAGCATACTACCTTTGGCACAAATGTTTGTGTGGTATATGGCACACTATACGTTGTCATTCTCAGAATTGATTATGTTTATGATTAATGAAAATTAATTTGTTTTTCCTTGTTGTAGAGAGGTATGTAAGATAAATATTTAAAAATTTTGTTTTCAGGTATGGAAAGATAGATAGTGTTCATGTTTGTTATCCGTTACACTGTGCTTTTATTAACTATATCAATCATATTGCACCTGGTAAGGCAATGAAAGCATTACAAGGAAAATTCATTGGAGGAAGAAATATTGTTTTAAAGTTTCCCAATCGTGCTGCCAGCCAGACAAACAAACACACAAAAGCTCTTTAGGTAAGTATAAACACACTGAGCACATTCTGTAGAATTGTGTGTTTATAGATTAATATAAGTGACGAAGTTGGGAAAGAAAAGTGTGTGAAGAAGGTGTGTAAGATACTGTCCAGACACGTAATACGTACTAATGGAAAGCAAGAGTTAAAAAGTCTTCAGTACATTTGATGTGACAGTTGAATGGTTGGCACTTCTTTATATTCAGGTCTGTGGTTAAAATATCAGCTCTCCTGTCTTGAGGTCATTCATGATTTTCCTCAGTTCCTCTAGGCAAGTGCTGTTATTGTAACTTATATTAGGCAAAGACTGCTTCTTTCCAAATCCTTTCCATGTCATTGATTAATCATATTATCATTTCACTGTGTAGTGTGAGGTACTGACAGTCATTAAATAAACCTCTAATGCAAAAATCTTGAATTCTTTGTTATATGTAATGCAATAGTACATACTGGAAGCCTGAGACATGCTTAATAAACAAAAATGTGCAGGATTTGATGTTTTCATGATGGTGAGTCCAATCACTCCAATCCAGTGATTGAGACTAGCCCCATATACCTAAAGATGAAAATATTTTGAACCACATGGTATTGAGCATTTACCACATTTAATATGCTCTTTATTTCTTCATGAATGCAATTTTTTGTTTGTTTAGTATTCAGAAAATATTACAAGGAGTTCATATTGCCATACAAATAGAAACAGATATTTCACATTTAATTCATATACATGCCACATTCTATGTATGATACAATACATTGCACCAAATTGTCATATGACCCATACATCCTTCCAAGTTAAATTTCCCTTAGTCCTACCTGAGGTATAATAATTGCTTTTTTCCATGGCTTTCTCAGTTCATAATTCATAATCATACTAACCCATATGATGTTATATTATACAGGAACATTAAGATTTAATAACCTAAGAATCAGTTACAATCAATGTACTTACATTAACTTTGTATTTCTTCTCTTTCAGCTGAATTTATTATCTTCTATACTAAATATAAACAGTTTTAATTGTTTTTTTACAAAGTACGAGTATATTTGTAAACCTTATGGATTTTGTCTTAAAGTAATGTAAGAAGTATTAAATTTGTGTGTATATACTACTCATTTAATGTGTTCATTTATTCTGAGAAGAACTTTACTTCTAATATGTAAATGCAAGTTATTTCTTTAATACATAAGATTTTGACAGACTATATTATTTTTTCTTTATCTCTGTAATCAATCACTTTTAAAAGGAACCTTCCCAGAACTACTTAAACATTCAGAGGTTAAATCTTGTATAAGAAGGTATAAAACCCAGCATCTCTGACAGGACAATTAATGGATTTCTTGAACTCCGTACTGAGAACATTTTGGATTTAGAAAAGGTCTGTTAAGTGATAAGCTTTGCTCAGATTCTTAGATGAAATCTTATATCTTAGCATAAATCAGAGTAGAAGTTAAATATCCTAATTCAAATTATAACTCAAATTCAGACTGGGGCATTGTAAAAGATAGAGTTCCTCTATGGAACAGTCACCCCACTGTTGAAAGTATATGCTTTAAAATTAGTTTACTTTGCTTACTTCCATTCCATCATGTCATATGGAATTATTTTACAGGGAAATTCAACAGACAGCAAAAGTGTATTATCACCCAAAAGAAAGCCATTAGAATAATGGCAGGTGTTAAAAAGAAGAGTATCTTGCAGAGAACAGTTTAAGAAATGTAATATACTCCCCCCTTGTGAGTGAATACCTACTCTCATTACTGTCTTTGGTTGTCATGGCCAACAAGGAGAAATTCCAAACAAACTCTAACATACATAGCATAGAATTAGAATTTATTTACATTCTGTATAATGCAAAAATGTGGAACATGTCATAATATGAATATGAGCACTTAGTGCAATAAAATACCAAAACGAAATTATAAATGCATACTTATTTCATCCATTTATATAAATATTTACAGTGTTTAATAAGTAGGAGTGGGCACTGAAATAGAGGTATAAATGGAAAATAATACAAGTGATAAGTAAATTCTCTGTTTTAGGGAAAATGAACAAAAGTAAGGGACATTTAGAATTGTGGGTATTTAAAGTAGAATGGAAAACAGCAGAGCTTATTAAAAATTAATTTAAATAGTACTTTCAGAAGTACACTGAATCGGAAAGTGAAAGTCCCAAATGAATGAAATGTGAGAAAGGTACAGACTGATCATTTGTGGACTACTAGAAGAGGAAGAAGTATTCAGTATTTTACTGTAACGTTCTCAGTAATAAATTTAAAACGTGTGTGTGCGTTTAAGGTAAGTTTATTTGGCTTCAAACTACTGTTAAAGCTAGCAAAGATGTTAATGGAATTTTTAAAGTTATTGCAATTATGACAGATGGAAATAGTACAAAAATCAGGAAAAAGTAAAGGATTTGATTGATAGTTGGAGGTATGGTGAAAAGCAAATGACCAAAAGAGAACCTTGACGATATTGATATTTTTACAAAGAAAATAAGTAATGACGTTAATTTGGAGGAAACGCGCCAAAGTGTGATGCAACGTGACCTTTGTACAATCACAGATTGCAGAAATACGAAAATGAAGTTCGTTCAGAAACACTGTCGTGTATTAATCTTTGACTAAAGGGAATAATGAAATGCGATATTACTGGTTCATGGAATGGGAAGAAAATGCTGTGAATTGGATAATTCTAAACCAAACGTATCGTTATTACTGTGTTTTGCGGTATGGCCATGAAGGCGGTGGAGGGAAGCGTTCGGTGTCATTTTAAACGCATATATAATTATGACAAATTGATTAAAATAAATTTTAATTATTTGGGATGTTATAATGTGTTTAGAAGATGGTATTTCGTAACAGACTGCGATAGAATACGTCACAGTACAAAACTGTCAGATGGTCAGTGGGCATTTACATCAGCTGTTCTTGGACTGGGTATAGGGTTAGGTTATTGGTTCCAAGGTGACAGTTTAAGGAATTTTAATTTCTTGCCAGTGGTAGAAGCAACAAAGCCATTGGATCCAAATATTGGAACAGGGGGCGATTCAAATAAGAATGGTAGTCTAAGGTCCCAACATAATTTCATAGCAGATGTTGTTGAAACTGTGGCACCAAGTACAGTTTACATTGAAATTAAGGATACTAGAAGGTAATAAAAGGCCTGTGCAGTTATTTTAAGTTCAGGAATTTGTCTTTCTTGCCCTCAGTAGGGTACAGCATAATGTGCTGTGTGAATTTAATATTAAAATTCCTTTCACATGAGCCTAGTTACATTGTATAAAATTATTAGTCTGAAACTACTATTTTCATAAACAAAATTACTTTTCATACCAATTTTTCTTGTGACTATCTTGTATATGTGTTATTTACATAACATTAATGACAAAGTTATGTGCCATTAACAAAAATCTGATAAATTGTCTTTTTAATTCCAGTTTTAATGCTTTCAGGTTAGATTTGTTTTCAGGTCAACCAGCCACTCTTTCAAATGGTTCAGGTTTTATAATAAAAGAAGATGGTTTGATTTTAACAAATGCCCACGTTGTGATCAGCAAACCTCACAGTCATGTGCAAGTATGACAGTATTTATTACTTCAGCTATATGTATTGGCATATGATAGTAACCACATGGTATCTTTACAATATTAAGAAACTTTTAGAAGTGATATGTTACTTCCAGAAAATCACACTGAACTACCAACACATTCACTTAAAAAATTACTAAACAATAAGTCAGTGTAAAATTTATATATAATAACTAAAATATGGCTAACCTAAGCAGATTCAGTTTCTTGTGTTCCTCAATGTATGAAGTAAAGTACGCATAACCTAGTGAATGTAATGACAAAAATGCTCACGTAATGTGCAAAGCTCATCAGTTACTAGAAGAATCAGTCTGTCTCTTTTATTATTATTTAAAATTAGCTTCTCTCATACATACACAAGTGATACATCATGCTTAAATTCATATGCAAGTATGTACACACAAAGGTATGTCACCAGGAAATTGTCACCAACACTTTCATCACTCAAATAAATTTCTCTTATGTTCCAGTGTTTTAGGATTGTAAATTTGTCCCACCTCACATTTTTTGTGTCCTTATATCAGTTAGATCTAGACCCTAAAGATGATGAGTAATATTCACTTTCTGCCAAACACGATTTAAATATTTGCTTGTGGCTTATTTGATGGCACTGTCAGTTGCTGAAACTATATAGCATCTGGTGATGGGATCATTAATGAATTGTAAAGGACATGGAAGCAGTCGTGGCATAATTTAAGGTACTATCCTGGCATTTGCCTGGAAGAATTGAGAAAGACCACAAAGAAGCTCAGGATGGTTTATCTCTGGTCTAACATAATTTAAATATGCCTGTATGTAATTGTTATCCTTCACTTCTGTGAAATATGAAAAACTGTTAGTGTGATTTATCATTATGCTGCCATGCAACCATGTCAGATTTAGTCAGATCCAATCAGTAATGAACATCAGCTGTCAAGTCACCAATGTTGTAACCATTGGTGAATGGGGTGAAAAAGGGTGATGCATTTGCAAGGCCACTGTTTGAAGAATATGCATCACATAAAGATAAGTGGGCTGAGATAACTGTTTTGAATTTTCACACAATATTCTGACACTGTGTTATTCACTATCTTGTTTACATGTGTTTGTGTGGTTAGGTACATTTTTATATTAATTTCAATGTACTTTCATTTTTAAGCAACAAATGTAAGCTCCATCACATGTTAGGTTATGCTAGTTATTTATTTTACAGTATGTTACATTTGTGCCAAGTTTAAAAAGCACAGATGAAATGTGAACTGAGCAACAGCATGGGTTGTAGGTTATGCCATCTGGAAGGAAGCATGCTAAAGGGTTTCACATGATCAGTGTGGGTTTCAGTTTCAGCAAATGATAGCAATTTGTGAACAGAGTTATAACCTTTATACATTGTGGTTGGCACAAAGATACAGTGTTACTGCTTTCTGCATTTCATTGCAGGAATTATAGATGCAAAGTGAAAATATAACATCCTGATAAGTTGGATGTTTGAGTTTGTATTTGTTCATGGAGTTTCATAAATTTGCTTTCTGAGACAAATTGAGTTTCTTAGCTTATAAGTAGAAATTCAGAAGGCAAAAATGCTTTTTCTTCTTCAGAATAAAAGGCAAAACATGTTTTTTTCTCAATATTTTCAAAAGCCCTGTGTACCCTCTTTTTTCTGGTCTAGCACCAAGCCCATTGCATGATACTTTTCCATTATTCTTGTTTTATGTGGCTTTTGAATGTTTTATAAAGTTATAGCAAACATACATTTGTTGTTGAACACTATTTAACTACTGTTCTTATATATATCTTGAATAGAAATTAATCACAAATTGTCAATTGTGATAACTCATATGGCCTTACAAGAAGTTTATGGTGCAAGAAGGTGGATAACATGGGAGAGTAGAAATATAAGGGGTCTGGTTAAACATTAAAATGAAATACATCGCATTTGCTGTTATGGACAGCATATATAATAAGAAATTAATTATGTAGTAATGTGTATGAATATTAAGTGATATTGAATGATTTTTTTTATAATTATTATTTAAACTTTTTTAGGTAAAACTGTTTGATGGCAGAACATTTACTGGTATTGTGGAAGATGTGGATGTCAGGTCAGATTTGGCTACAATTCGTATTCCTTGTGTAAGTTGTGCATTGTATTAAATGGCATAACACAAACCTTCCTCTTATTTGTACATATACTGATAACTCAATTTAATGTGGTTCGAAGGTAAAATAGTGCTGAACACTGAACTCTGGAAAGATTTATTTGGAGGGTCTTGAACATGTAAATGTGGCTGTGACCATATAAAATGTACACTAAAAATGGAAAACCTTAAATCAAGAAAAGTAAATTGAAATTAGTCTGTATAGTGCTCATTATAGCTCATTAAAAGGACTGGCTAGGACTGTGTGATAGGAGTTTAGTTCCCAGCAGGGGCAGAATTTTTTATTTCACCACTGTACCCAGATTGAATTTAGGACCCCCACAGCTTCCTTATCTTGTGGACATCAGAGGATTTTTTTTGGACAGGTAAAATGACTGCTTGTCTCCATTTAGTACCAAAAACAAATATGTGTGGAGTTTTGCCACCATGCCCCTTGTATGTATTTATTGTGTGGTGCTTAGGCAAAGGCAAAACATTACCTATGTCTTACTGTATATTGCTTTTTCCTTTAAACTCCAAAATATGAAATTGTGGCTGTGTGATTATACAACTAAGTGCATAGTTCTCAAGTACAAAGATGGTCAACCAGGTCAGTTTTTCATAATTTTATATACGTGCCATTTTTAATTGTTATAATCAATGGCTAGAGTAGGTTTTTGTACTTTGACCATTATAATATTGGAAGAAAGGATTTAATCCACAGTATTGCAGGGCTGCCAGTTGGACTCCAGGTGATCCAGTAGTATGCTAGTGCAATTCATGCCCAGCTGTACTATACATAAGCCATGACATGCAGTTAGTAAAGGTTAAAATTATATACCTGTTGTAGTAATTACTTAATCTAAATTTTTCACAAATTAAGAGGAATGTGGTACTTTTTCATACAGCCTATTAGTTTCAGGCCAAACTCATCAGCAGGAGGTCAGTTTTATGGAGTGAGATATTCAGAACATTGGAAATTACCTAAAACATAGGAATTTTGTATGCTTTATTCATCTTCTCTTCATTCTGCATCTTTTATCCTCTTCTCCTTCTTTTAATCCTCCTCCTTCATCCTCCAGCTTCTTCTCTATGAGTCAGTTGATTTTGTGGTAAGGGTCTGAAGGGATATGTAGTTTTAGAATCTCATAAAGATTTGCCTGTTTGTAAGCACTGTTCCATTAAGGTGTATAATTGGCATGGAAGTGACATTCCAAGCACTCAGTGGTCAGCTTCACACTCCAGCTTATTCACCTCCTGGAAAAGTCCCCAGTACAACTGGATAACAGGTTGTGTGTGTGCAAATAGCCAGTAATTTCAGTGATTGATTTATCCGTAGTGTCATAAATGTGTTGTAAATGTCACTGATGACAACCTTTGTCATTACAGCATAATCTTCCAGTGCTGAAACTAGGTTCTTCACATGGCGTGAGATCTGGAGAGTTTGTGGTGGCAATTGGGAGTCCATTATCACTCTCAAACACTGTTACAGCAGGTGTGATCAGTTCTGTGAACCGGCCAAGTGAACAGCTTGGTCTGAGAGGCAAGGATATGGAGTACATCCAGACTGATGCATCCATTACGGTACATATGAATGATGTATCATGCAGCTTGTGGCTTTGTATTACCTGAACACTATTTTTTCTTGTCAGTACTCTTCTTGAAATGTCAGCTGAGCTGAATGCTAATCTTGCATTTAGGACTCATTTACTTTCTTGTCTAGATTCTTATTTTTTCTATCACATTAAGTGAGGGTTATGTCTGTTCATACACTTCATCTCTGAAACATTCCATGAAATATGCATGTGATTTTGGTCCATATCAGTTTAGTGTAATGGAATATACTTTACAGTCTACTTTTATACAATTTTCAGAACTGGTTTATCATATGTAAAATGTTTTTATTAATATCTACAACTTTTTTAAAAAAAATCACTGTAATGCATATTTAGCGAGAAACAACAATATTTTTTCCTCTTTGCATTGTTATTTCTATATTGTTTCCATAATAGTGGATTTGTATCTGCAGTAAATGAACTTGAAGACCAATGAGGTATGCAGAAGTTCAAACAATGTATTGGGAAAACTACTAATATACTGATCCCAGGACCTCCCACATATTAAAAATTATGCCATACCTTCCGTGTTTCAATCAGATAAGCTTAGAGGTAATGCATAACTCTGACTTGTTTTTAGGAGGTACCCACTTTGAACCTTGTTGAGGTCACAAAATATCCAGTGTTATATTTCTTATATGGTTTCCTGTAGTATTTCCAGCCTCCAACCAAGGTACAGATTAGGTACCTCCCAGATACAATGAAGACACTATCACAAAGCTAAATCTTTTGGTGCAGTAGTGTATCAAGTAACAGAAGGTACAGATAAATGGCATCTTAAGTAAGCTAATGCCCATTAATTGTTTTGCATTTTTTATAATGAAGAGTTGCAAAAAATGCTCATCTTAGTGACTAGTTTTTAGTAAGGGATGTGTTAAGTACTAGATGTTGCTAAAACAGCAGTAATTGCTGTAAGGTTATATTACATTACATTAGGTTTCAGTGATAATTACTTCTTATAGATTTGCCTAAGACAGACTAGTTTAGATGGATTTTGGGTTTATCTGGTAGCATATATACCAGAAGAGTATCACAAATTAAATGAGCAATTAAGCAAAAAAGGGAAGTTTTCAATAACCATTTGCAACAACTTCAGCACAGAGTATAAACACTGGTGGCCAGAATTTTACAAAAAAAAAGACAGTTTTCATTTGTATGGAGTTGCTAGTCGACTGAAGATTTTGATTCCTGTTGGGACGGCAGTGATTATTATTATCAACCCAATAACAACAAAACTCTGAGACAAATTAAATAACTAATCAAAAAGCTTTATGCACTTAATTTTGTTTATGTTTCTTTGGTCATGGTTTGTTGTTCCTTATTTCTGTTTTTTTATATTGGTGCATTTGTCATTTCAGTCCTATGATAAAGCTATTCCTAGGGCTCAGAAAGTTATTTTTTTTCATTTTGAAGTATTACATGTGTGAATCCAGCTCTTGGAGAAGTCATCACAACATATTTTATTAATGACATCTAAAACAGCTTCAGGTTTCTTTCTGTCCCAAATAAAATTACCAACCTACCAAATAAGAAAGCCTTCCCTAATGTCAAAAAGATGGATGACATCAAATAGGTCTTGAAGTATACTGATCACATTCACCAAGATTTTTGAACTTTCAGTCCAGCATGGAAGATAACTGGCAGAGGCCAAGATGAATAAAATATTGGGCTAAAAATGAAAATAATGGTCTGAAATGTAAATTGAAAGCTTATTTATTGTAATTTTGATAACTAGTATAAGATGTTTTAAAATTATTATGGACTTCTATTCCCCTAAAACCACGCATGTTTATGAACAACAAGTGTACAAATGGCACATTTCAAAGCTGAAAATTTTGTAACTTGGGCTATTAAAGGATAAAGACAATGGCAATAGAAATTAGATATTTCAGTCTTGCTAATTGAGGCTTGGAAACAGTGTTACTTGATATTTAGTGCTGTGAAACATTATGGACACTATTTTTTTCTTTGCCAGAAGTTTAATTTCTTTAGCAATGCCCCTTCCATTCCCATGCATTAAATTATTTTGTATTTCACTTGACAGTTTGGAAATTCTGGAGGTCCATTGGTGAATCTGGATGGAGAAGTGATTGGCATTAATGCAATGAAGGTTACAGCTGGCATCTCATTTGCAATACCTGTTGACTATGCCAAGGATTTTCTACACAAAACTGAAGAGAGGCACAAAGCTGGAGGTAATTATAACATTAGATACGTGCATTAAGTGTCACAGCAAAGAGGCTCACAGTCTCTGAAACTAGTAATAATAATTCATTCATAATTCTTTTGTTACAACAGTCACCATCAAAAGTTTCCATATTTGACATATATTCTGCAGCAGAAGAAGAAACTGAAAATTACTTTATTTGATCTCTGATCAGATTAACTCTATATTTTAACATTCAGTGTTTGCAAAATTTTGGTTGGAAGGCATGAAGGTAAGGGACCACTCAGAAGACCTAGGCATAGATGGAATAATAATATTAAAATGGATCTTGGGAAATAGAGTGGGACAGTGCGGACTGAACTCATCTATCTGAGACTAGGGACTGGTGGTGGGTTTCTATGAACATGGTAATGAATGGAACAGTTGGTGTTTGCAGTACTGATTGCTTTCTCTGTCTCACTCAAATGGTTTATCATAGTGCTTTTGTTACTGAAAAGATTGACAAACAACTGAACTCGTAATCTAGACAGATCTCTTGCTATAATGAGAAAAATTTAAATACATTGAAAAGCCAATGTGAGAAGTTGAGAGTTCTGTTAAATTATTACATTCCAATGTATCAGAAATAGGTAATTGTGATTTGTTTGTATTACTTCATATGCAAGAATGCAGATTGTCTGAAGTACCATTTAGAAGGGTATAATGTCTTGCCCCATTTAAACAATTCTGATGCACACCAACAAATACAGGAATTTTACCATGTCTGGCTGTCCTATCTACATGTAACAAACTGAGAACCACTGAATGGATTTTCATAAAATGTTATATTTGGAATTTTATTAAAATCTGTCAGTACATGCTGATTGTGATTAAACTGGATGCCAGTAATAGGCATTTTATATGAAAACCTACATTTTTCTGATCATGGAAGTGACTTTGAAAGTTTGTGTGGGGGTATCCCTTACCGGGCACAGAGCTACATAAAGCTCACTGACCTCAGGTAACTCTAACATCATTGGCACCAGTCATAAAGTTTAAGTTCATATTTTAGCAAATCAGGTAGCTGACAAAATTTCTTATTCTACCTATAAAGAGCATTCACAAATTAGAATCAAGTTGCAGAAACAGAATGAATGTCCTGGAATTGTTACATTATGCATACTCTTCCTAATCTGTTCATTGGTACATGCTATTACATCCTAGTATTATTATTCTTCTTCCGTTTCTTGACCATTACTTCAATCTTCTGAATTTCCTAAGAAGAGCGGCTGGAATATCCAGAAGAGAGAGAGTGAGAAACATCCTAGTATATTCAAGGCAAAATAATTATGCCAATGGTAGCTGATGTTCTCACTCATATTACAGGATCCGTGTCTTCTGTACCCAAGCGACGCTACATGGGTATCACAATGCTCACATTGACACCACAGATAATTCATGAATTGCAGGCTCGTAACCACCAAGTTCCAGAAGATGTAACACGTGGTGTGCTTGTTTGGAAAGTTGTCATTGGTTCACCTGCTTATGTGTAAGTACTTTGCTCATGTTGTAAGGAAAGACAGGCTTATGTTACTGCATGTATGTGTTTTTGTGTCCATTTACTTGTGTGACCTCCCTTCATAATCATTTTTGAACTGGTTGACTGATTTTCATGGAAACATTATTCTGGCTCAGAATAGGGTCATGGGCATGATTCCATAAAAGGAATGGAATTTCTTGACTATCTGAACATCAGTCAGCTTCATGGAGTAGGTTAGGTATGTGATGCCATTAGAGGCAAACCCTTTTAATTCTTTACAATCAATAGTATCATTGTGGTATTAGTGGAAGTGATGCTGATATGATTTAACGTATAGCCGTGAGCCTTTCCTATGTCATCTTCCTTTATTTAATCACCCTAACAATTGTAGGTGTTGATTACAAAGTATGAAGCTCCTCACTTTCATCCATTTATTTTGTTATCAGTTTGTTTTCACCACCATGTTTAATGATGGGTAAAATTATAGTTTTGTGTATTTGAATCTGTATTTTTCTAAACAGGACAAGAAAGATAAAATATGTTGAACTAATTGGTTGCAGACATTTCTCAATTTAAATCTGCTCTTAATAATTTCTTCATGATATAATTTTGACTTGTTACTGTCGCTACCAAGTGGTTCATGTTATTCCACCTTTTTATTTTACAGAGGAGGACTGAGGCCAGGAGACATTGTGACACATGTGAATGGATCTGCTGTGCATGGAGCAAGCAACATTTATCAAGCACTAGAGACTGGTCAGCCCTTGAAGGTGATTGTGATCAGAGGAACTGAACACCTACATATTAAAATCATCCCAGAAGATGGTTAAGACAATGTATATTAAAATATGGTAATATATTGAGTGAAAATGAATAAATAAATAAAGTGTTTTATTCATGTTCTTTTCTTGACAGCAATTTGATACATACTTCTGACTTGCTTTACCAGACTGTTTAATTTAAAAATTGTTAATTTGTAAGTTTCCATTTTACTTTAGCCTGTCAGGCAGACCCCTACTTCAGACATCAGTAGAGAATTATTTATGGCTGTTTTCTGAAATTTAACAGTTACATTAAATTTACCATGTTATTGTACATGACTAAATTTGTGTACTTTAATTCTCATAAGCCATGATAACCAAGTCAAGATAGGAACAGGCTAGGAATTGGATGACCTGGGTTTGATTGCTGGAATGGGTAGATATTTTGATTTTTCATCATAGGCTAATGGTTCCACCCATCCTCAATGGTTACCAAGGGTCTTTCCTAAGGAACATAGTCATTGGGAGTGTAAAGCTAACCAGTTTAGCTTCATTTACTTCTGAGGTACAGAATGTGTCAGGTTTTACCTCCATATCCTCTTATACTTATATAGCACACTACATAGGCACAGGGACAAGTTTTCCTTGTCTTTACCTTTATATTCATCAAAATAGCATTTGTCATTGTTTTGGCTGGAGTCTTGAATTGAATACTGTGATACTGTGTTGAAATATGACACAAAATCATATCTACTACCTCCCATATTCACTTGAACAAGCATCATAAAATAATCAAAGAATTAATCAGTAGTTTGATTCCTTACATAGCCTTGTATTTTCTTGAATCAAACAGGTTGAGTCTGCATGTTTTTTTTATGACTGCATCAATTTCACAGGTTGCATTGTATCAAATAGGGAATAAGTTGCTCAGTACATGGTGGCATCCCAAAAGACATTTTCACATTCATCCCAATGAGAACCTGAATCCCATCTTAAGGAATATGTAATTG